AGACTGTAATTGACTGCAAAGGATTTGCAACCAAGTATTAAAAAGTGAAAGTTTGATTTATGATTATTATTCTGTCCCATTACTTTTGGTCCCTTAAGAAGTGGGGGGCACATATGCAAACTGTTGTAATTCCTACACCGTTCACCTGATTTGGATGTAAATACCCTCAAATTAAAGCTGACAGTCTGCAGTTAAAGCACATCTCGTTCATTTAATTTCAAATCTATTGTGGTGGTGTATAGAGCCAAAAATGTTAGAATTGTGTCCATGTCCCAATATTTATGGACCTGACTGTACTATCAAAGAGTTTTGATGGCAGATAAAACTTAAAATAGCAGTCCTCTTCTTTAGATCGTGTAACCCACAAACGTTCCAAGAGAGGACAGCGACTTTATGACTACTCATGGGGCAGTGAGAGAATATAGGAATAGCAAGAATGTTTCTTGAGTGTCTGGTGCCCCAGAGAAATTGTAGGCTGTTTATCGCTTGGAAGATGCTCATACCGATGAGGAAGTCCCAGATGATGCATCCTTCTTCTGGACGTCCAGTGGGAAAGATGTGACACAGGTTGTTACCGGGTACCGAGTCCCCGAGACAACAGCTGAATTTAAAGTGGAATCACCAATCAGTACCGAGTCAAGCAGGAGATGGACGTGGACACCGTTATTGCGATCCAGCCAGTTAGCCGCTGTGTTATGCGAATCAAAAAATTGTACAGGGCCTTCTGCTACCACTCGCAGCTTAGCAGTGGAGGGTGTGGGATGGCATGTACTCACTGTGTCAAAAAATCTGCTTGCTACATTGTGTAGGTTGCCTCCAAGCAGTGCTTCTTCCACAGGGATGAGTGACAGTGCATGCACTACAGGTACAATGCGTGAGCTCAGCATACATAAGTGTGATTGTAGTCTTTACATTATATGAAAGCAAAGTTTAGCCACTGAAATGTTAATGTATATGTTTAATTTTCCCAAGAACCCCAATATCAAATTCATATCTGTAACAAAGTTATTTGCATCTCTTACTATCTTCTTTTTTCTGAATCATTTACTAGTTCAAATGCCATATTTTGGATGGTGACATGAGCAGTTGCTGACATCTAGTGGGGAGAAAGCATACTAGAATGTGCTGGTCTTTTGTTAAAATGGAACTTTATCCATAACAACTTGATAAAAAATAATGTTGTTTAGCAAGGAACATAAATTCCACATTAATAATTATGCTACCAAAATGAGTGTGTGCTGTAACTTGCCTCCAAAATTCCTCCGGTTTCTTCTTGCTAGAGGCTGACATTTTGCTGAAGTCCAGAGCCCCCGAACAACAATAAATTTTTAGGCTGTCAGCAGTTCTGCTCCTAGAATTTTAGCAGTGGCAAAAAAATAAAGCGCAACTGACACAGTGTATTACTGGATTTTAACCACTTAAGCTCCAGAAGATTTGACCGCCTTCGTGAGCAGGACATTTTTTGTTATTTATCACTGTGATATTTTAACTGGTAATTACACGGTCATGCAACACTGTACCCAAATTAAATTTAAATAATTTTTTTTTCACACAAACAAAGCTTTATTTTGGTGTTAATAGATCACTACTGTTCTTTTTTTCTATTTTTTAACATATAAATGAAAAAAAAGACTAAGCATTTTGAAAACAAAAATGCTTACTGTCTGCTATAAAACATATCCAATAAAAAAATTTACACAATCGTGTGTATTAATGCGTGACAGTTATAGTATCTATTAAAAGGATGGTATATATAATGGAATTTTTTTGTGTATATATATACTAGTAATGGCAGTGATCAGAGACTTATAGTTGGACTCTGATAGGGTGGTGGACAATCTGACACTAACTGACACTTTGTGGGAACTGACTAACTGTCACTGACATCTCCAGTGACACTAATACAGTGATCAGTGCTAATACTACATACTGTCACTGTGCTAATGTTACTGTCTGGGAAGGGGTTAACATTTAGGGGCAATCAAAGGGTTAACTGTGTGCCTAACATTGTTTACAGTGTGTACTGTGTGCTGTTTTTACGAAGCAATGTGCCAGTTTTTACTCCCTGCTTTGCAGGGAGAAAATAAACAGCACATTGCTGCTGTCTGTTGAGAGCCCTGTGTTGCTTACCAACACTGGGATCTTTCTATCATTCACTGAGCCGATCAGCAGGTCCTGGTCTTAAATCATTGGCTGGGACTCGCTGATTGGCTTTTCCTGTATTGAATGACAGTAGAGCTGAGGCGGCGTCCTCACCCCCTACTCGGAAATTTCAAATCATGTACTGTACATGTATGTGATCTGGCACAAGGGAGCCACCAGCCTGAAGTATATGTGGCCAGCAGTTAAACAGTATAGACACTATTTTTAATGTTTTACATAGCTACTGTATATCTGCAAAACAAGCCAGCTTTAACTGATCTAGCAGGATTTCATTTTCTGACTAAAGTTCCACATTAAGTTATCTTCAGCATTTGTCTTCAGGGTTCCCATGGTTGTTAACATGCTGGTTCTGTGGTTTTATAATCTTCTTGGTCACTGACCAAAAACAATTATGCAGATCTGCAGTTCTGACTCCATTCTAACTTCACTTAACTGCATTCTTGTTTTACGTCAAGTGTCCCAGAAAGCATTGAAAACTCTGGTATGCCTGCCAGACAGCAGTCTTTGTATTTTTCTCAGCGATAGCAGTCTTTGTATTTCTCTCAGCACAGGTTTCCTTTAGGTCCCCATTATATTATGCGCACCATGAGCAATGCTGCACTGTAGGTGTGTTGCTGTCTACTGTAACGGTGCACTGCGGTGTCACAGCGTTGCTGTGCATTGTTGTAGCATGCAGTAACATGTATTTTACTGCGTCATAGTGCATCGCCCCAGTTTGAAGGGGGCTTATAAATCAGAGCTCAAGTTAGCTGCCAGTAAATGAAAACAGTCGCCATCTAATGCTTTTCAGAAAACACTAAAAATTTAAAAATGAAAACAACAATAACAAAAAAAACCTCTGAGATCTATGTAGGCACAGTGCTGATTTCACAGTCTTTTAAAGTGATATTAAATCCTCAGTTTTTTATGCACTTTCAGCATCTGAGTTAATCACTTAATAAGTATGCAGCTTCTTTATCTTTTAATCCTTGCCCATGTCCCTGTTTAAGCTGGTGCCATGATTTCTTCCCCAGGTTTCCTGTTCAGGGGTGCTCCTTACACTTGTATGGAGCCACCCTGGCATAAAGGGACATAGCTCCAGGATAGCAAGCCACCCCCCTTTGCAGCTCCTTTCCCTCCTCCTCCAAGTTACAGACTGTCTCCAGACTGCACTATCCAGTGTTAGATCTTTCCTATGAAACCAGGATTACAGAGAAGCAGCACAAATAGAGAAGGAACCAGCAGCACTGAAAGTTCTAAACTGCAAGTACTGGGGTAAGAAAGGTAAACAATACTTTACTGAGGGATGTGTATTTTATGGTGTTCAGTGTGTTAAGCTAAAAACACCGATATTTTAAAAGTACTTTAAAGCTGAACAGCTACTTTAAAGCTGAAATTCAGCCACTTTCTAAAATGTTATGGGTTAAAGTGAAACTATAGGCAAAACTTTTTTTTTGCATTTTGGGTAGAGTAAGGAAGGGTTATAACCCCTGTCAGATTGTTTTCACCATCTGTGTCCCATAGGGGAGATTTTCCTTCACTTCCTGTCCCAGAGCCAAACAGGAAGTGAAAGAAAATCCCTGCAAATTAAGGGAATTCCTTGGGTTTCCCCAGATCACCAGAACTAGTGTCCCCATTGGAAGGTTTCCCCTCTCTTATTTTTCTGGGGACAACCCAAAATTTGGGATTTTCTTTTGCTTTCACTTTCAATAATAATGTTAAACAGGACAAGTAGAGGAATTTCCCTAATAGGGGCATAGACAGCAATAAAACTGATGGTGTTCTAATACCGCTCCACTCTATCCAAAACTAAAACTAATTATACTTTAAGTCCAACAAGACACATGCCACCTTGTAATATATCTCTTTAATTTACTGTTTACATTTTTATTGCATGCCGGGAGTAATCTGGTGCTACGATGGTGAACCTTTTAGTCTCAGCTCCAGCAGCTGCAGAGTCACATGCATCAGCTCTGCAGGCCCCTCCCCTCCTCCTGTCCAATCATAGAATATTTTGTATTATGTGAACCCATTTACAAAATACAAAGTCTTCTGTGAATGAACAGCAGAGGGGAGGTGTGGGCAGAGCTGCTGTTGTATAAAAAAGTAATATCTCTCCTGTCAGAGCACCATGAGTATAGAGATATCTGTAATACCAGTGCTCAGTAAAACTGGCAGTTGTAAGAGATAAGTCCATGAGGTGGCATGCACCTTGTTGGGAATAACTCACAGTAAGCCAGCACATTATAGAAAGTGTCTGACCTTCTGGAGTTCAGATTTAAGCATAACACCATCATATTTTCTAACAGTTTACAGTGTGTTGTACTGCACAGTAAATAGGCATACATTTAACAATAAGAGAACAAACTGAAGACAAGAATTAGATACTGCTTGTTGCAGGCTAAAAGAATTCTTGGGGCCTATGTGTTAGTTAAGAGACATAACAGAGTGTGATTGAAACTTCTGACTGAGCCATCCTTTAAAGGGATTATTATAAATACTCCTTCTGAGGCTGTTTATTTGCAGTGTACAGTGTATAGATCGCTACACCAGTAACATGGGGCATCATGACCAGTATGGTGCAGTAGGGTCTGGAAGATATTTGGAGTTAGTTCACCTTTTTTGTGAAAAAAAGACAATTGGTGGAATAATTATTTTTTTGTCACAAAAGCAAAAGTATCCCCTGAAAGTATCCCTCCATTTCACCATATTTGCAAATTATTTTTGTAGTTTTCATTTAGCAGTTTAATATACTTACACTATATTGCCAAAAGCATTGAGACACCCCTCCAAATCATTGCATTCAGGTGTTCCAATCACCTCCATGGCCACATGTATATAAAATCAAACACCTAGGCATGCAGACTGCTTCTACAAACATTTGTGAAAGAATGGGTCACTCTCAGGAGCTCAGTGAGTTCAAGCATGGTACCATGATAGGTTGCCAACTGTGCAATAAGTCCATCCATGAAATGTCCTTGCTACTAAATATTCCACGGTCAACTGTTAGTGGTATTATAACAAAGTGGAAGCAACTGGTAACAGCAAGAACTCAGCCACAAAGTGGTAGGCCACATAAAATGACAGAGCGGGGTCAGCGCATGCTGAAGTCTCCAACTGTCTGTAGAGTCAATAGCTAAAGACCACCAAACTTCATGTGGCCTTCAGATTAGCACAACAACATTGCATACAGAGTGTCATAGAATGGGTTTCTATGGCCAAGCTGCTGCATCCAATCCTTATCACCAAGTGCAATGCAAAGCGTTGGATGCAGTGGTGTAGAGCATAATGCCAATGAGCAGTAGGGCAGTGGAGACATGTTCTCTGGAGTGACGAATCATGCTTCTCTGTCTGGCAATCTCATGGACATATCTGGGTTTGGCAGTTGCCAGGAGAACGATATTTGCCTGACTGCATTGTGCCAAGTGTAAAGTTTGGTGGAGGGGGGATTATGGGGTGGGGTTGTTTTTCAGAGGTTGGACAGTGAAAGGAATTCTTAAGGTATCAGCATACCAAGAAATTTTGGATAATTTAATGCTACCAAGTTTGTAACAGTTTGGGGAGGCCCCTTCCTGTTCCAACATGACTGCACACCAGTGCACAAATCAAAGTCCATAAAGACATGGATGAGCGAGTTTGGGGGTGGAGGAACTTGACTTGACTGTACAGAGTCCTGACCTCAACCTGATATAACACCTTTTGGGATGAATTAGAGTGGAGACTGCGAGCCAGGCCTTCTCATCCAACATCAGTGCCTGACCTCACAAATGTGCTTCTGGAAGAATGGTCAAACATTCCCATAGACACCCTCCTAAACCTTGTGGACAGCCTTCCCAGAAGAATTGAAGCTGTGATAGCTGCAAAGGGTGGGCCAACTCAATATTGAACCCTACGGACTAAAACCGGGATGCCATGTTCATGTGCATGTAAAGGCAGGCATCCCAATACTTTTGGCAATATAGTGTAGAGCCATGTAAGCCATTGCTTCAAAAGTTGTTCTCAGTTACTGCATGTAGCTTCTCTTATGACCATAAGCATTGTGCATTCTCTACTCTTTTTGTGACTGTTTCCTCTAAATATATATTGTTGTTAAATTATATTTGCTTGTATCCTGACAGACTCTACACACAGTTATGCAGTTTTCCGATTTGTAATCTCCATTAATCCTGTAGACATCACTGAACTCAATGCTACACTTGGAAACTATATCCTACATGAGCCACTGAGAGCTTCACAGATCTTCCAATCGGTATGGCTTGAATGTTCGTTAAATATAATTTAATCATGTAATATAGTATACTACACTCTGAGACTTGCTTATTCATATTTTAGGTATGTGATGCTGCAATAAGACTCCTTTCCTTGATTGAACAATACCAGACTGAAGCACAGGTAGACAATCTAAAGGGCTGGTAATAAAATATTCACCACGGACTCATTGAAAACAACTGAATCAATGTAGCTGCTGTATAGCAAATTTCACTACAGCAAACCCATATTGTGGAAACTGATGAGCTAACACAAAACATTGAATCAATGTGTGAGACCTATAGATGCCTACTGACTGTGAGTGCTGAATGTATTTTAGGCACAACAACCAGCAGAGACTGAACACTGATATATGCTTTCATTCATTTTCATTGGTCAGCTTCTGAAGAAACTTCAGTTGGGGATTTCTCTTCTGTCCTTTAATGCTGTTGATCTCTAGCTGTTTCAGTGTGGGTTTCTATCTAAATGTAATTCAACACCTTTAATTAAAGTGTTAATAAACCCAGGGCTGCTGTTAGAAACAACAGGGCCCCATACAGCTAACCTGACAGGGACCCCTCTGAAAAAAGTACACAGTTTACTATGCTTCAGTTATAAATGAACACAGTGAGTGATTGGTACCGATCATTAACTGTGTTAATTCAGGGAAGGAAGGGGCTGATAAATGTGACATATTTTACTGGACCTATCCTCTACTCTCCATCATGAAGGATCCTATTGTGTGCTTACAGCTGCCGATGAGAAGGAGACGAGAGAAGCAGGAAGCACTGCAGGGGTGGGGGCACACAGGGGGGCCTGGGCAGCAGGGGGAAATGTATGGTGTACATGGGGGATGATGGGTGTGTCAATTACTGGAACAGATCCCCTGTATGGCTCTCTCTGCATCAGCTGAAAGCCAGTGGAAGGGAGAATAGAAGAAGCCAGTTTTCAGCTGCTGCAGAGAGAGCCATACAGAGGATCGGTTCCAGTAATTGCCCCCTCCATGCCCACATCTGGTTCACCCAACTCCCTGGGATCCCTGCTGGCCTGGGCCCTGTACAGGAGGACTGGTAGTACCCCCTTATTTATTTTATTTATTTATTTCAGGTACTTATATAGCGCCATCAATTTATGCAGTGCTTTACATATATGCTGTACATTCACATCAGTCCCTAACCCTCAAGGGGTTTACAATCTAAGGTCCCTAACTTACATTCATACATACAAATACAAAGGCCAATTTAGACAGGATCCAATTAACCTACAAGCATGTCTTTAGAGTGTGGGAGGAAACCAGAGTACCCACGCAGGCACAGGGAGAACATGCAAACTCCAGGCAGGTGGTGCCGTGGTTGGGATTCAAACCAGTGACCATAGCACTGCCAGACGGAAGTGCTAACCATTTAGCCACTGTGCTGCTCTGACTAAACCCACAACAGTAAAATCAGTCTGTATGTGCAGTAAATCATGCTTTTTATACTTTCTTTGGTACATAAGGGGTTAATCCTTTGCATTGTGTAAAAAGGATGTTTGATCCTGTCTTCTTTGATCCTCCCCTACTTCTACTGTCCCCAATATATCCCGTGATAGAACAGAGGTATGGAGGCAAGCTGCACATGCTCAGTTTAGTCTGTATTGCTAGAGTTTTTTTTCTTCGGAGAGTGCATTTGACCAATCACCAATTTATATTTACTAAAATAATTGCATTTCCATGTTCTGTGTACTGTGGGAGAACAGATATAGTGAATGCAGGGTTCTGGGTTTAGTAACACTTTAAACTTGATTCTTGTATCTTTTTGCAGTGCTTGTAGCAATGAATCGTGTACTTTCTCTGCAGATAAATGTAGTCCTGAAATTAACGCACTTGCCTGAATTGCCTGGCTATCGTTTAAGCCTAAGCAACTTCCCCTTAGACTACAAGTCTCAGAGACTTTATATGATGGAAGGAACAGTAACTGCAATATCTACAGTGACAAAGTACACTCAAGGAGCACAATTTCTCTGCTCAGAAACAAAGTGTCCTTTTTCTCAAGGTAAAAATGCACATATAAGTCTACATGTATAATTTTCACTTATCAGTCAGCCCGTCTTAAGCCTGTCCAGTGATTACACACTTTTCTACATGCTGAAATTGGTGCGCTACTAAAATCCCAGTAAACTGGTTAAGGTATATTGACTAATCTTTTCACCCCTCAGGACTGTGGTAGTAACATGATGATATTCAGTGAGATCTTTTGTTGAAGTGGAAGTATACTATATCTGGGCACCACAAAATTAAACCGCTGTTTTATTCATTTTTAATATTCAAGGAGGACTCGGCCATCCATCTATGTCAAATGCTTTATTATGCGGGCAATCACCTAAGGTAGAACTATAGGCAAAACTTTTTTTTTTTTCATTTTGAATAGAGCAAGGGAGGGTTGCAACCCCTGTCAGATTTTTTTTTTAGCCAAACAGGATGTGAGAGGAAATCTCTGCAAATTAAGGGAATTCTTTCGGGATCCCGAGGTCACCAGAACTATTGCCTCCATTGGACAATTTCCCCTCTATTACTTTTTTGGGGACAACCCAAAATTTGGGATTTATTTTAACTTTCACTTTCAATCATAATGGTAAACAGGACAAATAGAGAGAGTGAATCTTCCTAATGGGGGCACAGGCAGCAATAAAAATGAACATGGGTTCTAATTCCTCTCCACTTTATCCAAAACTAAAAAAAAATCTTTGCCTTTAGTTATTCTTTAATCCAAAGGCCAGTGATAACAGCAACATTACACTTTCTCCCACTGTGTGGTTAAATTGGTAAACATCTTCTACAGTGATTTTGTTTTACATTCTGCTCTTTATTAGAATCTTAACTGCATCCCACCGGCCATACGCATATATGTATCAGCAGTGTGGTGGGTTTTAACACCAAGCTGTCACTCATATGTGTACAGCCAGGGGCAGACTGACCAGTTGGAAACTCGGGCACTGCCCGAGGGCCCGGGGTCAGTAGGGGGCCCCATGAGATGTCCCTGGTACCTTTTTCATAGGCTTTTTTGAGTTTGGGCAAGGCCCATGATCCCCTATTGCCTGGGGCCCCATGCGTTGTCAGTCCGCCCCTGTGTACAGCCAGTGTTCCTTGTTTGTTCTCCTAACATGCTCACTTGACTTCCCCAGTACTGTGACCATGGTGTCACAAACAGCTCCTGGTTACAGTTTCCTTGTTTGTGCTCAATAGATGGGATGGGACTCAATAATGTGATCACTGTAACAGCCAATCACAATGATCATGCATTGCCTCTGACATTCCAAACTTTTAAAGAACCGCTTCCAGTGGCTGAAGATGGTTAAATTGAATTTGCATTTTGTCTAGGCAGGGAACAGCAACATACTCACTTCCTTTCCCTGGTCCATTTGACCACAACAGCAATGCAAGGAATTCCCGTGTAAGCATCAAGTTGGTCTGGTTGAAGCTTATGCAGGGCTAAGTACTCTCTCCAAACCCCCAACTGACAGCATTTAGCCCTGCCAATTGGCTCTTCAGGCACCAAATTCTGCATAGTGGGAAGAAAGTAGAGAGTCACATGATCAACTATACACCTAACCAGGGACACTGATATTGGTACAGGCAGACCTCCTGTACCAGATCAAGGGCCCCACCAGGACAGCAGGAGGCCTGGAAGCTTTATCATTTTCTACAGTAAACTAGAATATAGAGTCTAACCTAGCCGTAATCTTCTACAGATTTCCAGACAGTAGAGTACTGACGGGATAGTGTAGGCGTAGCTTAAAAAAAAAAACCATGATCCTCCAAAGGGGTGGAGACATGAGGGGGTTCCTTTCCTGTGTTGTTATCGGCTTGCTTGCTGCTAAGCAGTGTTGGGAACTTGCAGCTGGGTGACATGGAGAAGAGCAGAGCAGGCAGCAGAGGAGCCCTGACAGTACTGAGATCACCAACTATAATATACACTGATACACCACTGACACCTATAGTAATCTATCGTTAATGGGGCACTGTAGCTTCATATACCTCTGTGCCCTGTAATGTATCAGTGCACTCTGTACTATCAGATACCTATATCAGAGCACTGTACTGTTATAGAATGATATTAGTGCACTGCACTAAAATATACCTCTTCTATAATACAGCTCTGTGTGCTGTCCTGTAAAACAATTTTATCAGTGTACTCATCTGCAATATACCTTTCTCTGTACACATTGCTAAGTTATCAGCAATATATGAGTGCACTCTGCTAATACACACTCAGCGGCCACTTTATTAGGTACACCTGTTCAATTGCTTGGAAACACAAATTACTAATCAGCCAATCACATGGCAACTACTTAATGCATTTAGGCATGTAGATGTGGTGAAGATGACTTTCTGAAGTTCAAACTGAGCATCAGACTGAGAAAGAAAGGGTATTTAAGTGACTTTGAACCTGGCATGGTTGTTGGTGCCAGATGGGCTGGTCTGAGTATTTCAAAAACTGCTGATCTAGTGGGATTTTCACGCACAACCAATTCTAGGGTTTACGGAGAATGATCAGAAAAAGTGAAAATATCCAGTGAGCGGCAGTTGTGTTGATGAAAATGCCTTGTTGATGTCAGAGGAAAATGGGCAGACTGGTTGCTGCAACATTCAGATGGTAGGGTCAGAATTTGGCGTAAACAACATGAAAGCATGGATCCATCCTGCCTTGTATCAATGGTTCAGGCTGGTGGTGGTGGTGTAATGATATGGAGGGTATAGCAAGGTGTACCTAATAAAGTGGCTGGTGAATGTGTACCTGTGTGCACTGTGCTGTAATACCAGAATATCAGTGCACTGTGCTATATAATATGCCCATGTGATCAGTGCTATAATACCATTAAATGAGTGCACTATGCTATAATATCAATGTACTATACTATATTACATAGCTCTCTCTGTGCTGTTAGAACTATTATGTGTGCTGTTCTGTAATACCAATATAGTGCCCTGTGCTATTATATGCACCTGTGCATTGTGCTGTAATATTATTATATCAATGTACTGTGTTGCAATTAACCTCTCTCTGTGAGCTGTGCTGTAATGCTGTTATATCAATGCACTGGACTAAAATAACTATTTCTCTGTACACCGTGCTGTAATTATAGCAGATCACTGTGCTCAAGACTGCTGATACTGAAGTATAGGCAGTAATCCTGTATCTGGCCTGGTCCTGAGTGGGTAAGCAGGGGGGCACAGGCCCAGCAGAGGCTGCCTGTGGGTGTCCCAAGTGCAGCATCATTCCAGAAGAGTGCAAGAAAGCAGCAAAGTGTCAGTCCAAATTCTGCTTACCTCTTCTACTAATGCCATAGGGCAGGAAGCGGGAGGTCCCTGTCAGGTAAACTGTAAGGGGCCTTATGAATTCTAATTATGCTCTGTACCTAAATATGGATATTATGCTTCACTTTTGCCAGTGTAGAAATGGGAAGGTGAAGACATACTGGAAGGGGCAGGCAGCATTTAGGTAAACATGTTGCTTTCCCTAGCAAACACAAGTTTGCTTTAAAAAAAAAAAAAAAGGTCATCCTAATGCACTTTACTAATTACATTTTTATGATTAGATTTTCAGTATATTCGAGTCCACATACCTGGGGCTACGGAATTAGCCACTGTAGGACAGGAGTTTATGTGCGATTTATGCTCATCGCCACTAAAGGAAGATATGAAGTATAGAGTTCTTGGTGGTATGTGCTATGCTTTAGAAGTTTTAAGTATTTCACAATAGCTTAAATATTTGTCTTTAGACAAAAAATCAAGTTCACTTTTACAACATGTACTCAGATAAACAGGTGGTTGAGTTAACAGATGCAAAGTCATTACGTGTTCTCCAGGGACATTATGCAACCCCTCAGAAAAGCCGCTTCCAGTCATATGCTGTTTACATCAGAGGTAAAGTCTTTTGTATTTATTGGTCCTTTATGTTCCCACTTGCTAAAAATAGTAATCACCATTAGGGTCCTTTTACACCAGATGTGTTGGCACATTTATTTCAGTGCATGCCAAAGCAAAATCTATAAATAATGTATTTGAATTGGAGAAATTCACACTGATACTTTGCGCTGATATGAGTCATTTTGCAGTAGAGCAAGCCCCACTTTTTTTTAGTGCAAGGACATGCATTGTGATGCGTGTTAGCGCAAAGCAACGCACTTCAGTCCACAGGTAAAACAGGAGGCCCGTCCTACTTTGGCTCCTGTGACACGCCGTAGACCCTTTGCATGTTCCAGGAAGTAAGGAGAAAAGTGCATGCTAAAACACAGAAACACAGCATACCAACACGTTGCAGTGTAAATGGACACTCTAAACTTACATTACATCAGGTTACATGCATTTTGATCTTGTTTTTTCCAATTGTGAGCGTCTTTAATACCTGCACTGAACATTCAAAATCATATAATCTGAAGAACATTTATTTTCTTTTTCTTGTAGATGAGTTAATTAACAGGATGAAAATAGGGGGAAGGTATAGAGTAGTAGGAATTCCAGTATGTGGGCCTAATGATTCTCAACTTTCTATTTGCATAGAAGCAAATAATATTCATCAGTACATAGCAGAAAGTAAGTGCAGTACCTTCTGGGAATAAATGGTTTCATAATATACTATGTTCATATACTGTATATATATTGCATCAGTGAGTAAATAGATAAATAAATAAGGAATGTTTCTTATAACTAACATCACATCCCTATACTGCAATTGTTATTTTAGACTTCCAAGGCAACAACACAGTAATATAGCTATACAGACAAGTATACCATTTCAGAATTACTAGAATTACAGAGCCTAGGATCACATTATACAAAAGCATATTCATCTCAGTTAGGACGGTGTTATGATTACAGGCAGGGATTTTCACCTTTGGCACTGGCTCTGTGCTTACTGCTACAGTATTTACTGTCATTTAGCTGTTGACAGGGGTTAGCTATGGTTGGAGGCACAGAGGTGAAATGTAAAAGGGGGTAAGTGTGCAGAGGTGATCTGGGGTCAGAGGTGCAGAGGTGAGTTGTGCAAGAGGGGAAGTGTTCAGAGGTCAGGGGGTGCAAAGGTGAGCTGTGGACATTGGTTAGCAATGGCCAGGGATGCAGAGGTGAGAGGTGGAAGTAAGCAGAGGTGAACTTCAGACAGGGGTGCAGAGGAGAGTTGCAGACAGGGGAGCAGAGCTGGGCTGCCAACAGTTGTGGACAGGGTAGAGAGGTGAATTTTGGACAGGAGGTGTAGAGGTGATCTTTGGATGAGGATGCGCAGGTGAGCTTTGACATAAAAGGTATTACAGGTAAATAAATAATGGAGAATAGCCCAGGGTTAAGTATCATGTAATTGGTCTGCTGAAGGAGATAGAAATGCATGTCACCAGCCAGGACAAAAAAAAGGTTTTATTTAAATTGTTTGGTTTGGGTTAGAAGTGGAAATGAGTTGAACACAGATGTGAAGAGTAGAGTGAAGAGAAAAGAGAGAGAGAAGAAAGGGGTGGCAGAAAAAAATGTGGCATGGAATTGGGTTGTGGGACGTAAGGGTGGAGTGAGGTTTAGGGAGGAGAAATAAAATGTGTTCTACAATCCCATCATCTAAGAGATAGGTTCCCATTATTTTATTGCATTTATCTGAGAATTTGAATTGGGTACAACAGAACCATATCTTGTGAAAACAGTCCTCCTGCTTCCTAAGAGACATCATAAGGTCTTCCATTTTCACAATGTTATATACTGTCTTAACACACTGACCAATCATAGGAGCCATGCGGGATTTCCACTGAGAAGGGATACAGATCCTGATGGCCTTGATAAGATGTATTACCAAAGAATTGTGGTATTTCCACCTTGTGAGTAAACTAATGTTCGTAGGATTGTCTGCAAGGGATAGTCCAATAAATTCTGAAATTAGGGCACAGACTTCAAGCCAGAAAGGTCAGATGTGTGGGCTTGAACAAAAAATATGGAGCAGCGTGCCCCTGCATCTCCAGCAATTGGGATCAACACTCTGAAACATTTAGTGTTCTCTCATGGGACCCTGTACCATCTGCTTAGTATAAAACCAGACTCCTGGAGCCTGGATGAGATGGAAGATTTGTGTGCAAAACAGAGAGACGTCTTGTATTTGCACTTTTTTTTCTTTTTCCTGTTGCCTTTTCTTTTTCCCTGTTGCCTTTTCTTTTTCCCCCAACCTTTCTAGAGCAAGAGACTTGAGTTCTGGCCATAACATCTTTGTGGAACTTGGTACTTAGGTGTGCAAATGTTATCATTTTAGTTCACCATAGCTACCAGACAGATTCACTCTTAAGGCATTTAGTTTAAACTGAAATGTCAGTTGTGAATGATCTTACATTTAATGTACAAAGAGTATGTTGTAGAGTATGTTGTACAAGAAAGTTCCTGAATGTAACAACTGCCTACACCTTATGATGATATATTTATATTTTGATTTACTCACTAGGTTCTCTGACCATAAGTGAGCCAATTCGAGAACTTTACCTAAAGACCTTTGGTTCCCCATGGATTTTCACAGGAGTACTTGCAAATATTTTTGCTTCACAAGTTGTCCCGGTGGGGACTTACAATACGCTTAAACTCTGTGTGCTACTCAGCCTTGTGCAAACATGTAATGAAGATGAAGACATTGGAAATATCATAGACCTTTTAGTAGTGACAAGTGATACACTGATTGTGGAGAGGTATCTTCAATAAACTGTGTCTAAACCCAAAAGCAAAAATGTAATATATTGCAGGTTACCAGTCCTTAATTGTGGTGATTGCATTAATTCTCTTTTTTTCAAGTTTTGTTTTATTTTCACTTGGTGATTCTGCCAGTAATACACTTCCTGCCCTAGGATGACAATGCTCCCTCCCCTCTCTGTATAACAAAAGCAGGGGTCTCCAAACTCTCTAAACAAAGGGCCAGTTTACTGTCCTTCAGACTTTAGGGGGGCCAGTCTGTGGCCATTGGGAGTTGAAATTGTCCTGGTGTCAGTGGACGTAAACAATGCAGCTTTGGTATTAGGGGGAGGAATAGTGCCCCATTGCTGCTGTCAGTGGGAGGAATAGTGCCCCATTGCTGCTGTCAGTGGGAGGAATAGTGCTCCAATTGCTGGTGTCAGTGGGAGGAATAATGCCCTATTGCTGGTGTGAGTTTGAGTGCCTCATCATTGGTGTCAGTGGGAGGCATAGTGCCCTGTTGTTAGTGTCAGTGGGAGAATAGGGACTTGTTGTTGGTGTCAGTGGGAGAATAGGGCCCCATTGCTGATGTCAGTAGCAGGAATTATGTCCCATTGTTGGTGTCTGTGGGAGGAATAGTGTCTTGTATCAGTGGGAGGAAAAGTGGCTTAAGGGCCAGATAAAGGCGAGAAAAGGGCCGCATCTGGACCCCGGGCCGCAATTTTGAGACCACTGAACAAAAGAAACAGAATAGGAATACAGCATCTTCTCCATGTCTTCATAACACAGAAGGCTGTGGTTCTGTAGTCTTCAGAGACACAGTGAGGAACAGAGGTATTTGAACACCCTGCGATTTTGCGAGTTCTCCCACTTAGAAATAATAGAGGGGTCTGAAATTCACATTTTAGGTGCATTCCCACTCTGAGAGACAGAATTAAAAAAAAAAATTCGGGAAATCACATTGTATGATTTTTAAAGAATTTATTTGTCTTGCACTGCTGAACATAAGTATTTGAACACCTAAGAAACAGCAAGAATTCTGGCTCTCAAAGACCTGTTACTGTGCCTTTAAAAAGTCCACCTCTACTCTACTCATTAATCTAACTTAGTAGCACCTGTCTGAGCTCTTTAAGGACACCTGTCCACCCCACAGTCAGTCAGACACCAACTACTACCATGGGCAAGACCAAAGAGCTGTCAAAAGACACCAGAGACCAAATTGTGGACCTCCACAAGGCTTGGCAATTGCCAAGCAGCTTGGTGAAAATAGATCAACTGTTGGAGCAATTGTTAGAAAATGGAAGAGGCTAAAGACGACTGTCAGTCTCCCTCAAACTGGGGCTCCATGCAAGATCTCACCTAGTGGGGTATCACTGATTATAAGAAAGGTGAGGAATCAGCCCAGAACTACAAGGGAGGAGCTGGTCAATGACATGAAGAGAGTTGGGACCACAGTCTCAAAGGTCACTGTCGCTAGAACACTACGCCGTCATGGTTTCAAATCATGCATTGCATGGAAGGTTCCCTTGCTCAAGTCATCACATGTCCAGGCCTGTCTGAAGTTTGCCAATGACCATCTGGATGATCCAGAGGAGGCATGGGAGAAAGTCATCTGGTCACATGAGACCACAGTAGAACTTTTTGGTCTAAACTTCGCTCGTCATGTTTGGAGGAAAAAGAAGGATGAGTTGCATCCCAAGAACACCATCCCTGCTGTGAAGCATGGGGGTGGTAACATCATGCTTTGGGGGTGCTTTTCTGCGAAGGGGACAGGACGACTGCACTGTATTATGAAGAGGATGAATGGGGCCATTTATTGTGAGATTTTGAGCAACAACCTCCTTCCCTCAGTCAGAGCATTGAAGATGGGTCATGGCTGGGTCTTCCAACATGACAACGACCCAAAGCACACAGCCAGGATAACCAAGGAGTGGCTCCGTAAGACGCATATCAAGGTTCTGGAATGGCCTAGCCAGTCTCCAGACCTAAATCCAATAGAACATCTTTGGAGGGAGCTGAAACTCTGTGCTGCTCAGCGACAGCCTCGAAACCTGACAGATCTAGAGGAGATCTGTGTGGAGGAGTGGGCCAAAATCCCTGTTGCAGTGTGTGCAAACCTGGTCAAGAATTACAGGAAACGTTTGACCTCTGTAATTGCAAACAAAGGCTTCTGTACCAAATATTAACACTGATTTTCTCAGGTGTTCAAATACTTATGTTCAGCAGTGCAAGACAAATAAATTCTTTAAAAATCATACAATGTGATTTCCTGAATTTTGTTTTTAAATTCTGTCTCTCAGAGTGGGAATGCACCTACAATGTGAATTTCAGACCCCTCCATGATTTCTAAGTGGGAGAACTTGCAAAATCGCAGGGTGTTAAAATACTTCTGTTCCTCACTGTAGATGAAAACAATGTAGCTGATATTAGTCACAGGCAGAGGGCACAAGCAACTTCTCAGCTAACAAACTTTCTGAAAATATCAACAGGTATTTTTTTTTTGCATGTATCGGACAGATATAATAAAACACTTTCAATTCTATATTTAACAGACCAAATCTCAGCAAATAAGAGAAGTTCATTGTTATTGTTTTCCTTTCCCATTAAAATGTACAAATGCTTATTAAATACACTTTATTAGTGTGAGAGAATGTTTATTCCATGCTAGTTAAAACCCAGCTTCATCATTTCCCATATCTTATGTTAAAGGAATTGCATTGTGGTTTTTGTGTATTTATTTAGGTCAATTCATAATAATAATAGTACTTAAAAAGAGTAAAGTTCTCAATTAATCTCAGAGCTATTATACACCCATATTCCTTATTTTCCTTATTTTTGTTATTTTCTTTCAAAGGAATTTAGTTCATAAAATCTCTATGTCCAACTTCTGAATATATTCACTGTTCATTTGCATGTGTACATTGATTCCTTCTACAAAAATAGGGGAAATGTGTTACAATAAAGTATTACAATAAAAAATGGGAAGATAAAATCTGTTTTTCAGGCTGATGAGTTACAGTGTGTCCCTTCTACCACGTGGAGTCCGACATACGCCTTTTAATGACATCTTTGCTACTGTAAGAAAAGATGAACATGGGACAGGAACTGCTATCATCCATGCTGGCAGTGCCTTAATGGCAAAAGGAGGAGCCTGCTTTATTGGAGATATAAATTCACATAAAAAAGACCAGCTTGACCATTTGAAGTCGGGTAACTATAAAATAATGAAATTGCAATCAGTCCCGGTGATTCCCAATGATGAGCTGCTAATAGTGTTTTTTCCATAGTTTTGGAGAGTAGAAACACAGCCATGTTCATACCTGGGAAGAAATATGGAGTAGATGTGGATCACCAGATATTTATACCTCTTCAGTGTAATTTCTGGGCATATGCAGATTTCTCTTATAAGAAATGCAATTTAAGGAAATGCAATTTAAGAGAAAACACCTTTATTGGACAGATGGTAAGTGACGCCCAGTGTGCATGGAATATCATCATAATGTGAAGAATGGTCTGCAAAGAACACATACCCATGATAAAAAAGAATTATTAAAAAAAAATGGTAGCAAATTAGCAAAAAGGGGTTGCCGGCATTTAGCATTGTATACTGTGTGTTTCAGAGTTTATCTTGTAGTCAAAGAATACAGGACTTTTACATACAGGAGTACTTGATGGTGAGCACTTCTGCCTAAAATTAACTTATAATAATTAAAGTAGAACAAAGGGCATTTTTATTTCATTTTGGATAGAGTAAGGAAGGGTTATAACTCCTGTCAGTTTTATTTTTGCTATCTGTGTTTGGGGAGATTTCACTTCCTGTCCCATAGCCAACACAGGAAGTGAGAGAAAATCCCTTCAAAGTGAAGGAATTCCCAATTGTCACCAGGGTCACTAGAACTAGTGTCCCCATTGGAAGATTTCCCCTTTATTGCTGTCCTTGGGACAACCCAAAATTCAAGGTTTTCTATTACGTTCACTGACAATGGTAAACATAACAAATAGAGAGTGTGGATCCCCCTGATGGGGGCACAGACAGCAATAAAAAACTAACAGGTGTCCTAATCTTCCTGTATCCAAAACTAAAAAATGTTTGCCTTTAGTTATACTTTAAAGGGAATGATACTCATCCATACACTCAGTCGTCCATAATACATTTCCATGGACCACAGGACAAACCTTGTACTTGATGAAAGCTTGTGAGCATAAGTCCATCTAGCTCCTCTGTCCTGCAGCGGGGGAAACAGGAGTCAGCACTATATATTTTAAACTTCCCAAGGCTGCTTGTGATTTTTAAAGCGTGATTTGCATGCAGAAATGCGTGCCAAGCATAAGTAAATTCACTTCAATGGACTGCCTTAAGCACGCTTGTCACCCAAAAGAAGATACTGCTTTGTATGTTTTTCCACGATTGCCACACACTTCTGTCTTGCGACAATCATGCCAGAATTGCACCACACTTGGCATGCTATTAAAGAATAATGTCACTGAAACGTATGCGTTCTGCCCCAATTTGAAATCACCTCATGTGAACAGGGCCTAAAGGAATCTAGGCTTTCTTCATTTAATCCCCAAAACATATAATAACTATAAATCCTCATGTACAATGGACGTTTTTACAGCTGCTGTTTTTGGCTTTTGGCATTTTTTTTTCTACAGCCAGTAAACTTCCCAGCATGTTATCCTATGTTTCCATGCATGCATAGACTGTAATCAGCGGTTTTTGGCAGGGGTGTTTTTTGGCTGGAAAAAAGCCCCAGAACTAGTGGGTTTCTAGAGGAGTTTTTTAGCTGTAAAAACGCTCTAACATGGCAAACCGTCGTTTTTGGATGTTTTTATAAGCAAAAAAAAATTTTTTTAGTGCTAAAAACCGCAAATGTGAAAAAAAGTGGCTAAACGCTACTGCAAAAATGCTAAAAAAAAATCACGTTTTTAACAGCTAACGTTACCAGCATTATTAAAACACCCAGTGTGCATGGAGTATCATCATAAACAAATGATTCTTGCCAGGTCTCTTGTTGGGCATTTTTTAAAATGCTAAATGGGGGGGGTAGCATTTACTATTGTAGCACTGACCTGAAAGGAATTGCCGGATTTTACGAGGCTCTCCTGCCTTTCTAACAGTGATCTACTGTGTAGCTGCACTCAGATATTTACCAACCCACTGGCGGCAGCAAACAAACAGGCTTCAAGGACTCCAAAGGTTTTTTGCCAATTGTTATTGGCTCAGTGTCTAAGGAGAGAGGGTTTGGGGTATGGGATACCCAAAATCATCAAAAACACATCAGGCCTTCTTAATAGCAGCAAACGTGGTGGTGGTTATTATGTCTCAGTGCCAGCCTACCAGTTACATTTTGATCTCTTTAAGAGCAACTAATTGGTGTCCCTAAAATCTTCAGGAGCATCCTCCCAAAAACAATGGATCCTTTAAGTACCATTATTGGTGACCCTAGTTACAGCAGTAGCAGCCTTCTAATAGGAACTGGTTCTCAGGCCCAAGGTGAGCAATCACAGATATCTTAAAGAGTTGAAGCCTCCATGCAATATGCATCTGGCAGCAAGCTTCCCCTAAGCTCTCCTGGACATTTTTACGCACAGCAGACTCCTCTGAATATGCTCCATCATGCTGCCATCGTCTTGATTCTCCAGGCCAGCTCAGATTCCTTGAGCATGGACTCTGGATTGCTCCTCCAGGCAAAAGGCCTTGAGGACCAGTGTTGAACCTCTACTACACACAGGCATCCTCCCCAGACAGCAGACCTGGGAGATAAGGACACTAATCTCACATGGAGTCCCTCCACAGTCACTCCAAATGTTTATCTACTCCCCAGCCCACATCATTGTAATAAACTCCTCAGTGAGTGTCAAAGGGAGAATAGATATTCATAACCCAATAGGTTAAAACTTCTCACCATCTACTGAAGAACACTCCCCAGTAGCAGGCAATACCGTCAATATCCTGGGCTTAGAAGAAATCCAACAGACACAATGTAAGATGAACAAAGAATGCTCTGGCTTGCTACAGCCAGAAACACTGGCCACAAAAGCCTTCAAACACTAAAATGTGTTAGGTACATTCCAGCTTATGGCAGGGTCCCTACAATATAATCATATGATCCAGCCCCGCAGATGTAGTAAAAAACAACCCCAGGGCCAGTGCCAGACTATTTTGCGCCCCAAGCAAGACCAGCTACTTGCACCCCCTCTCCCAAAAAAAGCCTGTGCAGGGATGCTTTCTCACCTCCTTAACATTAGCTCCATGAGGAGAATGACTGGGGAGCTAGGAGGAAGCAATATTGCACGCAGCACAGCACTGCATTGGCTAGATACTTCTTCTTCATGGATAGGCTGAAGTTTCCAGCTAACATCATCCAATCCTGCAGTGGTATGCGGAGCATCGGTGCAGTATGTGGGAACATTGGTGGACTGTGTGGGAAAGTCAGCGGAGTGTTAGGAAGCCAGTAGGGAACAGGGAAAACCAGCTGCTATGGCTGTGCCCAAGGTGGCAACCTAGCCTGCATAGAGGTAGCTCCGGCCCTGCCCAACTTCAGCATATCTTTTGGATGTGCAATATCTAATCCAATGGTGGTCCACATATTACAAGAAACCTAAGCAATTTCCCAGGAAGCTATACAGTATATTTCATGTCAGAGACGTGTATACGTTTGTAAATCTGTTGTATGGTTACCATGAGAACTTTACTTATTCAGGATTTAAGTATGATACCCGTCAGTGTCATGGATGCATTTGGAATGTTGGTTTACTGCAATGAGTCATCTCTCAGTCACCCAACTGTACCTCTAGTACAACACAGCCTGCTAAGAGCAGTAAATCCTGGATCACCTCTCTGCCCTGCATCTGAACAGTTCACCACACAAGACTTTGAAGAGGTAACAAAAAAAATCAACCATTTATGCATCTCTCATTTTTAAACATTATTTTTATAACTGATGTGAATGTTTGAAAAACATAAAATATTGGAAACTGCCTCTACGAAGAGAAAAAAACACACCAATAACATTTACTTTTCTTTTGGTGTATAAACAAATCTGACTGAATCACTACATATGCTGACTGTTCACACAAGAGCCACCAGCAAAGTACAAACATGATGTGACTCTTCAAATAAAGTTAAACAAAAAAAAATAAAAAACAAGCAGGACAATGTGCTAAAATGAGCACACCACTTCCTACGGCACCTGACAATTGCTTGCACTGCAAAATGCCATGTTTTACCATGCAGACTAGTGTGAATATAGCCTTACGATAACATCAGATATACATACTTATGATTTTGTGTTAAATGCATGCTAAGGCATTTATTGCATTTCATGGATACTACCCTTTGACAACACCTTCATCTCCCATTCTCCCTACCATCTCTATTCAGGCATAATCCAGAATTAGCATCTACTGATAAGTATATAGCTGGCCACATATGTAAAGTTTTCTTTCATTCAGCCCTGGAGCTAAACTAGAGATATCCATAGACTCCCCTGTCCACATTAAGGGTTCTTTTACACAGGGCGGACCCGTTTAATGGATCTGCTTGCTCTGCAGGGGATCTCTCCGCTGATCCCTGCTGAGCAAGCGGATGACAGCTCTGTGTCTGCTCGGCTGCTGCTGAGCAGACAGAGCAATTTGCTCTCCTCAATGGGCGGTCGGATGAAAACGGACCGCCTGTCCATTTTCATCCAACCCGATCCGACAGAAGGAAGGGGAATTGGATCCCCATCTGTCTCTTTTTATCAGATCGGATGTTAGTGGGGGTAAACGGACACCCTTCTGTTTACATCCATCACTCCATAGAAGAGAATGGAGATTCTGATCGGTGCGCCTGAAAAACGGGCAGGCGGACCCAGTCGGAATGTCTGTGTGAAAGAGCCCTAAATGGTGTACATCAAGGAATCTCCTACAGCTTTTGCATTCTGACAGCTAGCACCTGGAGCTGTCAGAATACCCAGACAGTGACTGCAGCTGATGGTATGTAGTAGCTGTTCAGTGGACTTTTTTCTGCCCAGCTCTTTATTTGACTTCTCAGTTGAATACTGTCAAGCCAGGTGGTGTCGGCTGGGCCACCCACACCTTGAAGTTCAGCTGAATCTTTCTGCCTATGCAGCTAGACAAGTCAGTCCCCTGCTGCTTGCTTTTATCTCATAAGACACTAGAAAGTTACAGCCTTAGAACAAATCCTGAGAAGAGTGGGTAGGTTGAAGAAATTATTCCTCCTGCTCGCAGCAGACATTGATCCTCTTAGACCTAGGCCAGTCATTGGATGGAGCTCAGATTATTAGCTCAGATTATTTTTTTATATGAAAAAGTATAATAATCTTAAGCATGGTATACATGGAAAATCAGCCCGAGTGTACTGCGAACTGAAGGCGTTTAACTACAGGCTTCTGTCAAAAGGTTATGCTGGTAAACCAGCATTCGATTAGCGCGGTCAGCCAATGGCTACAGCACTGATCAGTGTATTCTGGAGAGGGGGAGTCCCCTCTGTCAGAATACAATAGTTCAGTGAAAGAGATCCCTGCATCGCATATTGGGGTTTATGTAATAAAGCTGGTTAGAGTCTCATGCACCTGTGCATGGTAGCCAATCAGCTTCTATCTTCAGCTTCTTCAGTTAAGCTTTAGCAATAAAACCTGGAAGCTGATTGGTTTCTATGCAGAAGTGCATGAGATTCTGAGTGAACCAGCTTTAGTAAATAAACCCCATTGTGTTGATGGGGAGATCTGTCAAGTTTTTCTCTTGAAATCGCTAGTTGAATGAAAAAAACTGAATGTGTACACTCTGCTTTACTCAATAATATTTAACTGTTAAACCTATTACTAAAAGTACAATTTCTTGCAATATTTCAGGCATGTCATTGTATTTGCATTGTTTTTTTGCAGATTAGCAGTCCTTTGTTCTAGATTGCTGGTAAATTCAGGCTGAGGAGACACTGCTGTAATTTTACAATTTTCTAGAATGTTGTGTTGGTAGATCACATCCATAGGATGCTTCTTACAGCAGACATTTTAGTTTATAAACATAGAAATATAATACCCTTTGCTCATGCACCACACATGTAACATGCACCTAGCCTTCCTAAGATTGGAAAATTACGGTATAAAGAATTGGAATCGGACCTATATACGAGATTGCTACACATGCTTACCTAGACTACCAGATGAGACCTCTGACTACTACTCTGATTGTTTTGTATGGTTTGACCCGGAGCAGTTGCAGCTGCCTCCTCTTCTTCCCCCCTACATCTACCCCCTCCCCTTTTTTTTTTCTCTTTCTCTCTCCCCCCCTATTTCTTTCCTCTCTCCTCTCTCTCTCTTTTTCACGCTATATCCTATTTTCTCAAATTTATTTCCCCAAATTTTTCTAAGTCTAGATGAACTTAGAACATCAGTTGACCCATAGATACAACTTCAGCTTCTTAGCTTCCGCCCCTAGGGGTAGATGCCTCATCATTTGCTATTTCCACCACCCTCCTACTTCGTTTTGCATTACATCACTCTCTATCTGAAGATGATCATATGAGGATTGGCTGATCTCTGTACCCAACCGTTCTGTTCACATCATGATACATAGATTCGTGCTTGGAATACAGGTGAAACTCGAAAAATTAGAATATCGTGCAAAAGTTCATTTATTTCAGTAATGCAACTTAAAAGGGTTTCACACGTATGTTCTCCTCTTTCTCTGTTTCACTCGTCTAAATCTCTTTTACTTCAAGCCATGTTAATTGTTGACATTCAATATGCTTCAGATGTACATCCCCTTAGGGATACGGACATTTACTAAATTGTATACATGAACCGATTATAACCTGTATATGTTACCTTTGTGCCTTATTTCTCAATAAAAATTGTTTTTTGTAAAAAAGAAATATAATACCAGTAACCTAATTAACACTCTGCATTTGAATAAATCATTGGCTGTGTTTTACATGTTTAGCTAATTTCCTATGCAAAGAGTTTAAAGGTGACATTTAGCTCCAGGGCCGAAACGTTACTCCAGAGTTATTATTTGGCAAGCAGAAGGATAAGGACAGACAGTAGTGGATCTAAAATCTCAGCATCAGCATTGAGACACCTGTGAGTACTTTCTATATTATAACATAATCAACACTAAAGATACATGTACATGTGAAACAAGGAGTGCTTATTGTGAAGAGGGAGGATAATTACAAGAAAAATGTCATAGAATCCTTCATCCAATAATATCACATTTTTTTTTTAGATCTTCAATGTCAGAAGCCCACACAAAGTTAAGTTTAAGAAGGGAAGTGACAGAAGAAGATGCTTTGGTTGCCATTTTATTATTTTTGAAGTTTCTCTTACCCTGAAACATGGTAAATGTTTTTTTTCTCTGCAATTAATATGACATATGTATAAAAGTATGATATATACATGATAAAGGATTAAACCTAGGGTAGGTAGATGGGTTAAATAGATATAATTTCCATCATACGCATCCACTGTTACCTTACTGCTTGATAGCCAAACCCAAGAACAAAAATTAAACATATTAGTTTACAAAGTCGTTAGATGTAGTGGCTGCATGTGTTTTCTTCAGGCGTTTTCCCTTTATTTTCACCTAATAATCCCCCCAAATAACACTTCCTGTCCTTTTTATAGCTATGTTAATTTTTCTACTGTATGCCTTGTTTATCTCCATTATATATGGATTGATGGAATTATTTGTTTACAAAAGATAAAAAGTTGTTTTTTTATGTATTTTCATCTCACAGGAAGTACTTGCTAAGCTTAACATGAAAAATAAAAACTGCTGCAGCCACCACATCTACGGACTGGTTAACAGTAAAATTCAGCATTTTTGTTTTTGGAAAAAGGTATTCTGACTCTTTCAATCACCATAAGACACTTATGGACTGTGTATAGGGTAGCAATAAGCTACAGGAGTCAACAGTTTTTTGGGGTCTTTATAAAATAGTGAATGTGAATTTCAACAAACATTCTCTCATGGTGAATCAACTACTGTACTTAAAAAAACAAAACAAAAAAAAAAACCAACACGTGCACCTGAAAGATTCACCTGTGAAAGTTCGCTGAACGTCAAATTCACCATTTTATAAAAATGCCCCATTAGTGTGTCAGGCAACATGAAACCTCTTGATTTCTGATTTTGATAGTCGAGTATTCATAGGTAAAATGGCTTCAACCAAAGTGGGTTGTGTACATTAGATTAAGTGCTTTAATGATGTGTATGTTGCAGCATTCTTTGTAAAACACCATTATATTGTCTTAAATGTAAATATCGGCCTACCCACAAGAATAAGATATATTTGAAATGAGGCTCTTTCATGCAACCTTCAATCATTTCATCTATACCAGCCTCTCAGCCTGGGTTCTGTGGAACCCTAGGATTTCTCCAGTGGTTGCTATACCAATGAGCAACTTCTGCTTTTCAAATGGGTGACTGCTGACACCCTTGATCTTTTCATCTCTTTGTAAGGGGGGAGTCTTGCTACTGACCCTAACTGTGAGGCGCATACTTCCTTTTAACCATTAAACTAATGTACCATGAGCTGTAGATTTCAAATTATTAGCAGGGAATCCCTGAGACCAGAAAGGTATTTCAAGGGTTCCATCATGTTAAAAAGTCTGATCTATACTAACAGGCTTTTGAAAACAGAAGAAAGAACATACTGGCAGATGGTGCATTTTCTCAGATAAAGAGATCAGGTGCGGACTTTTAGTTAAAGCCTAACTCCAGCCAAAACATTTTATTTCATTCTGGATAGAGTAGGGTTAAAAGGTTAAGCAGAACTAAAGACAAAACCTTTTTTCATTTTGGATAGAGTATCCCTGTCAGTTTTTTTAATTTTCAGAAGACAAGGTGGTCATTCTGTTTAAGAGGTCATCTTGGTCTCTGAAACAGAATGGCCAAGGCCAAAGCCAGACTGCATCCCAGGACATACCATTGAGGAAATATCTGAGGCTTACACCTGGGAAAAAAAGAAAAAAAAAAACCTTTTCAATGCAATAATATACTCTCCTGGAGGTTGACTTGCTAGGCCTGGGAAGGGTAGGCTTGACAAAATGAGAAATGCCTGTTTCTCAGAACACAAGTATTTTTTTTCATTCAATCCAGCAGGCTGAAAAAAAAAAAAAAAAAAGAATTACAGATCGCCATACTAACTCAAGTGATGTTAGTGCGTGATCTCCCCTACCCACCCAGGACACAAGAATCCACTGGCTGCGAGCGCTGATCAGAGGCTGGTTTTCCAACATGACTGTTCGACAGAAGCCAGTCATGAGACAGGGACCTGTACATATGGGCCAAAAGTTGGCTGGTTCCTGCCAAGTAGACCGGTTTCAGACAAATATGGTCAGTGTATTCCCAGCTTAAGGCATTATGGAATCACACCCACAACATCCTGTTGTGCAGTTTCGATAGACTCTGAGGGCACTCATGAGCACCCTAATACTCCACTGACCCTTCTTTCAGCTTTTTATCAGAAAGCCTGTACAGAATTAAAGGCAAGAAAGCTGGAGGATGTGTCTGCAGGAGCCGGGCACTGCCCCACATGCCACCAGTGCAATGCTTTGCAGGCTCCCTTTTCTGCAAAAATATATGCATTTATAATTTCTTCCTGAAAGGTGAACTTAGCCTTTAACTTAGAAATAAATCAGGCCAGAGCATAGCTGAACTTTGTTTAGTGATACACCATTTGACAGAAAAGCTATTTTTCAGCATAAGATTTTTAACATATTACAACATGTTTCATCATACTATCCATTGCAAACTAATCTAGAATCTCACAAATTGCTATAGTATCTCTTGTTTCCAGGTAATCTTTAAAAAAAAAAAAACAAAACACAATATTCTGGAGCGGCATCTCATGCTCCTATTTAAAAGAAAGTATTCAAAGTCTATAACTCAATGTTTTTCATCTGTTTAGTTTCAAAAGTGAAGTTATAGAACTGATTTAAAGACCTGTCTTTTCATGCAGGCAGCGCTGTGTTCTCTGTATCCCATCATCCTTTGTTTCCAGTTGAGCTGGTGGATGAGAGTAGTTTGTGTCAGCGAGATAATTACCTAAGAGAATACCAGTGCCAGCTTTTACAGTTCATTATGACATATGGACCAGCAGCTGCTTCTATCTCTGAAGAATAAGGACAATATTTCATACACAGAAATTGCCCCGGGACTGCAAGAAACATTTGCATGTTTCCATAAAACAGTTACTTCTGATCTTTTCAACAATAAAAAATAGTTCTCAATTTCAACTATATGGATTGGATAACATACTACTAAGTGTAGAACATAATCTAGAAAAGTATTCCTAGGTTGATGACAAACAAGCAATTTTTAATGCAACTGTTTCCCTCAAGTGGATCTAGCAACAGCCTTTTTCTCAAGTGCATGCACAGTAATGTGTAAGTGTATCCTCTGCTTCACTCTTCAAAAAGAGCCTTCATGTTTGGGATGCTGACTCTGATGGCAAACATGTAACTATGTAACTCCTGCTACTTGCACACAAGCATCTGGCACAAGTCTGATGACCGGGTAGAGGGAATGCTTCTGCCTGCGCTCAGCTTTGCAATGGCATAGTTTGGAACAAGTAACTTTATCTGGATAATTAAGACCACAGATAGGTTGGGCTACAAATACAATAGATAAAGGCAAAATAGGACAGTCCCAAAAAAAGTATACCATTCACAGGCCAGTTACCAGGCCAATATGTTTAGTACACGGAGATACATGTCGTAGACCATTAGTGAGAAATACTCTAACCACCTCAGGTTTCTCTTCATTGCTGGGGAAAATCTTAAATATGTATAGACTGCTGGAGGTTCTGTATTTATGGACCAAAGTGCAGTGTGGGACATGTTAGGACCAGGGACAGTTTTTAATAAATGCTCATTTTAACGTAAACAGCAAATACATCTGATAAATGCTTCCAGTAATGCTGTAGTTCAAGGTGTATTTAGTAAAGTTCAATATATTACATTTTTGGTTAATCATTAGATGTGTTTGCTGCAGTAGTTTTCTGTTAGCCCCCCCTATTTTCAGCTGTATTGGAGGAATGAGCACAGGAGGAACCTTTGGACAGCAGCATTGCCAGTCTGAGGGCATGTTAACTATACTAGCAGATCTAGATACACTAAAAAATTGAAGATAAACTTTGCACTTCACGAGCAGTTACAGCAAACCATGTTTTTTCTCTTTGTGATAAAGGTTTATATAAACAAAAATCTTATTGTAAGCACATGTACTAGTGGTAAATAGATGGTCTCATCTCTTCAACAGATGAGTTCTGCTAGAAGCCTTGCTCTTTTTAAAAATAAACTTACTGGCCAGAGCACCAGCTGAAAATAGAAGTTTAAATAAGAAAATTAATGCAGTCATCACATCTAAGATACAATAAGCTGCAATATAAATGTTTGCTTTTTTTTTTTTTAACAATTGCTTATTATAGTGCTTCCAGCTTTTAAAAAAAAAAAAAAGCCACCATACACAAAATTGAGGTTCCTAAAGGCCTCCATCAATAGTTTTCCCCAAAAACACAAAAAAAGTTACAATAAGGAAAAGCAGTAACAGAAGTTGTCTCAGTGGTACAAGAGGAACAGATATTTCTTCATAATACCACAGTCTTCCATAAGTATAGTAAACCATAGCAGGAAGGCTTCAAGAATAAAATGCATTAATTTTTGTACTTAAAAGGTTTTACTAAACCCACAACAGTAAAATCAGTCTGTATATGCAGTAAACCATGCTGGTTATACTCATTGTGTTAAAAGGCTGTTTGATCCGTTCTTCTCAGCCCCTCCTCTTGTTGAAATGACCACTTGATAGAGATTGAAGTCGTGGTCACATGCATGGGTGTATTGATAGAGAGGTTTTTGTTTCTTTATGAGAGGGTGCATGTAATCAGCACTGTCCAGACAGAGAATCAGAGGTTTCACATCCTCCTAGAGCAGAAAGAAAACTCCTCCTACAAGCTTTAACCAGTGCTCTGCTGAAGCCACAAGATTGCTCTAACTGCTGATGAGAAAAGGTATTTAGCAGTTTATACTGTATTTACTAAAATAATTGTATTTCCATGTTGTGTTAACTGTGGGAGACCAGATATAGTGAATGCAGGGTCCTGGATTTAGTATCACTTTAAAAGGTTGAGAGCATTAGTAGTTTAACATGCTGTTGGCACAGATGTAAACCTTCGTAAGTGTTTGTTCAAATTAGCTCAATCTTGCCCAACCACTTAACCATCAGTCAATGTGGATCACACCCCTCATACCAGGATCATACCCCTCAAACCACTGCTTACAATAGAATCAGAGTCAGTATTGCAATAGCTCTTGTGTTAATACAGAAGCA